TTAAGTTCTTGGGGGGAAAACCACACAAAGGACCTGTCACAGTTGCTAAGAGAGCCCTGTGTGGGACTAGTGAAGAGCCCTGCAGTGCCCGGTGTGGCTGTGGCTCCCCCTGTTTCCGTGGGGCAGGCTGCGGCTCTGGTGTCGGGAGCCAGGGCTGAGAGCCAGAGTCACAACCTGCCCCACTGTGACAGCGGGAGCCCAGGCTGAGAGCTGGAGCTATTAAAAAACACACACACATACATACAGAGAGCTTGCGCCTCCCTTTACACATTCCCATGCCTCCCTTGGGAGGCGTGGCCCATACTTTAAGAACTGCTGTTCTATACCCATTACCTCAGAGGCCTCATGGACTGTGGAAAACCTCCAACCAGTTCCCCATTGAGCTGACGCCTCAATATAGGTTATGTTCTCTTTCTTTTGAACTGCCAGAAACCTTCTCCAATACGCTTCAGGGGTCAGTTTAAACTTCAGCCACAAAGCTTGTTTTCAATTATCATAATCTTTGCAGTCTTCCCATAAGGGTAAAGATGTCCAGGGCCTTTGCCCAGAAAGCAGTGGAGCCAGGTCCCTTACCATGTGCCCTTGTCCGAGCTTATTTAATTCACATAGCGAAGAAGTCATTTGGAGTCTATGCCACTCACGGGCACAGGTCCATGGCGTCTGGCTCCACCTACTGGACAATGGTTCTGCTGCCACAGTTTCTCCATCTTGATCTGATATTGATGCTCCCTGTCCTTTTCTCTCTTCTACTGCTGGTACTGGCGCTAACGTTGGGTCTTACCGGCACTGCTGCGGGTCCCAGACTGCTCTCTCTTGCTCTAGATCTGCAAGCTGCTGGGTTTCCAGATGCACTCTGTCCCTCTCCAGCTGAAGCCTCTCTTGCTCTAGCTGTTGGGCGTCCAGCACTCCTCTTGCAGTGGTGGCCTTGGTCAGGATGGAACACAGTAGCTGACTGTCAGCCTCTTCCCTGTTTCTCTCCAGGGCGTTGGGTCCAAATTTCTCCCTGTCTGCTGGGCCCTCTGTCAGTCGACTGGATATTCTCTGTGAACATGGACCATCATTCCTTGACATTAGAATATAGCAAATCAACTATATATGATTTTGTTCTATCTTCAGGGCTAATCTCCCTTTCTCTGCATAGCTCAACAACAGACTTTTCTTCAGTTGTTCATAATTCATTTCCCCCATCTCCCTTTTCACTGTTCCTTTCCCCAGAAAGACTACTGAGGCTTTTTTCTCTGTGCCTCTCCTGTCTAAGTAACTTGCTTTTCCTGCTGTTGGCATTTATGCAATTGACACTGTTAAGAGATCCCACCAATGCTGCCACCATAGAAATTGTGGTTCAGGGTGGCTGCACCTGGATTTCCCCTCTGTGGTTCAGCAAGGGCACCCACTCTCAGGCTGGTAGCTCCCCAGCCATTGCCTTTTTGGGTGGAGACCCACAGCTCTCTCCCCTCTGACCAGGGTATTCCCAGGCTTCACAGCTCCCTGTCTTCACTGTGTCATTCCCAGCACAGACCAGCTGCCCAAGGACACCTGTTTGCTTTCTCTTCAGAAGGGCCGGCTCAGGCTTTTTGCCGCCCCAAGTGGCGAAGGAGGAAAAAAAAAGCCGCGATCGGCAGCACCTCGGCGGCAGCTCTACCGCGCCGCTTCATTCCTCAGCTCCGAGAGGGACTGAGGGACCCGCCGCTGAATTGCCGCCAAAGACCCGGACGTGCCGCCCCTTCCCATTGGCCGCCCCAAGCACCTGCTTCCTTCGCTGGTGCCTGGAGCCAGCCCTGCTCTTCAGAGACAGAGAACAGAGCAATTGCTACAGATACAAGTTACCACCAAACTCTTCCTAAGCAGGCCAAGTATATTCCATAGGTACAAAGCATTACCGAGAAAACAGTAAAAGAACAAAAGAACCTACCCGCATGCTAATAAGCTCACCAGAGTTACCCCAACTCCTTTTAATACCGCACCCTAGGAGCATCCTTGTGGTTACAAGGTCATCAGAGCTTCAGCTCAGAGCAAGCACGCAGTCATATGAGGCTTCAGTAGGCCAAGTCCTTCCAACCCTCCCCTAAGGACTGGGGCCCTCCAGGGTCCAGGGGTCCCGCCCATTTGCTGGAGTAGGGAGAAGGCCCTGAGACAGGTTAAACCCCAGGCTTTTATGCAAAAGTCTTTTCTTTGTCTGATGGACTCTGGAGAATCCAGTCTGCACAAGCATATGCAGGTCTCCCCAGGTGGTGACTTCAAAGGGCTGGGAATGGAGGAGGTACATTAGTATCCCCCCTCCCTGCTAGAGAAGGGGCACACACTGCCACAACAACACAGCCACAACTGCATTTTTCATACTGTGCCCAAAGGTGTTAACCCAAATTCCATACAGTTTAACTTAACTCAATAAAGCTTATCTTCATTCCATCAGGTTCGTCAGGATATTGCAAGTCTGTCACAGAGCCTCCTCGACTGGGACAGAATATATTAGATGAAAGCTGTCAGTAGGCTCAAACCAGAGGGCTCAACCTGCAAACACTTGCTACTAAGACTGCCACTTACTCCCATCCAGGAACTACTCCCAGTAGGAACTGCAGGCTCAGCGCTTATCTTTCTTTTTGTAGGTGTCGGTGTGGTTGGGGCCCTGTACTGCACAAGACCAAAGTCATCAAATTTGCTGCAGAACTCACCACTTGTGCAGAGCTGGGCTCCAAAACCTGAGTTTCCACTTTTTTTTAAATGAACGTAGTTAACCTTGAGTATGACTGATGTAGTGTGGCATGCCTGAGTCTGCAGACAGCCTGAAACAGTAACTCTGAAAGGTGTGAACTGCCCCATTTATCTCAGTCAGTGCCCTGGTGACTCTGATTCTGCGGCCAAGTAATCTGGCCACGGAATTCACCATTTCTGCCATGGAATTCACCGTTTTCCTGCAGCCAGGTGCCTGACATTTATTTTTGTCTCCCTGCCCTGCTTGGACCTGCCTCTAGCTGCCACTTTCTCTTTAGCTCCTCGCACAAGGGGTCTTAACTAGACACCCGTGTACGCTCCCTGCATTGCTCCATGGAGACAGGCAGCAGGGACTGGGGAGCCAGAGCAGGAATCCTGCCTGTAAGGAGGGGATAAGGGGAGCAAGAGGTGAGGCTGGGCAGCTGGGCTGCCTGCAGAATAGTACAGGAGCCACGGTCCAGTGAATGGTGCTGGGCCCATGGTGAGCAGAGCTAAAAGCCCTTCCTTGAACAGTACTGCAGCGACACAGCTGCACCACAATAGCGCTCAGTGAAGATGCTGCTGATGCCAACAGGAGAGCCTCTCCTGCCGGCGTAGGTACGGCACCTCCCCAAGAGGCGGGAGCTAGGTAGCTATTGTCCCTCCCTACTATTGCAGGGCAGAGCAATGGCACTTGTGGTTCAGTTGCCTAACACTTTCTATTATAAACAGTTCCTGCAGCTGTGGTGAAGAGCTCTAATGCCCCCATGGCTTGCACTAGCATTTTGGAATTTGGCAAGAGGGTGGGCCCAGGCCCAGGGAGGGACCTAGTGGGGACCTCATGGAATCTGTTCAGATTTGCTTGAGTTACACACTGTTAAAAATCACCACTGCCTGCCGACGATTCACACAGCCAGCTTGGCCTGGGCTTGCTCCCAAGCTCCCCCAGTGTTCCCTTCGCATTGCACATGCTCTACCCCACACCTCGCTTCAGAAGCCCACATGGCATGGAACCCGCACACGGGGCACAGACAAAACGGATCCGCCTCCTGCTGCTGCCCATCGAAACAGCCTCAGTCTCAGCTGAACCCTGACAAATACAGAGCTGAAATCAGGCTGGCTCCCCGGCGTTGTTATAACAAGTATTAGAATGATAAGAATCATAAGAATGTGTTTAATGCTCAGACTTTATTGAATGCTCATGCGTAGCTGCCTGCACCAATCTCACCTTTACCATCGTATCCCAGATTGGATAGTGATATTTGAGCAGTTTGTCTTGTGAGTCTCTATGACTGTGTAAATGACCAAACAGGAGAGAGCCACTGACTAGTATGAAGGGCTGACCTCTAACAAGTGTTTCTCCCTTCCCAAAAGGAAGGGGTCATCCATACCAGATGGACAGTTGTGGGATACTGCAAAAAGAAGACAAAAGATTTTGTTGTTGTTCTGCTTCTCCCCATGAAGATGAGCCAGGCAAGTGGACTCCTCCCATCAACTGTACTGAGTTTGCAGATCACAGCACATGGCAGGAAGGAGATAAAAATGCCAAACAAAAGGAACCTGAGTTCTTTCTGCTGCTTGAACTCTGGGGGACAAAGTTTTCAAGGCATAAGCAAAGGATCCCCAGCTGCTTAGCCTGGGTTAGCCCTAAGGAACATATAGCGCTGATTATAGAAGCTTTTATTACCTTTTGGAACTTAAGATTGGAACTCATTTGTGTATTTAGGTTTACCTGCTTTCACCTTGTAAATAACTCTTGTTTCTTTTTCCTAGTAAATATATCAGTATTTAGCTTATTATAGGACTGGCTACAAGCATTGTCTTTGGTGTGAGATCTAAGGTGCAACTGACCTGGGGTAAGTGACTGGCCCTTTGGGACTAGGAGTAGCCTGAGTATTGCTTTGATTCTTGGTGTAAGGGACCAGCTATCACAAAGGCAGGCTCACCTAGGTGATAAGACAGATGGGAGTAGCCAAGGGGACTGTATCTGACTCCATGGTTAGGCTGTTGTAGTGCCTGAGGATTATACCTGATACTTGGTTGGTGATATCTGAGTATAGAACTCCCCACCACTGTGGGGTTTAGGCCCTGCACCCTAACAGCCTGCCTTGAGGGGGGACTCACGCTCTGAGCACTGCAGGCAGCGTTACAACAACTCAGTCCACAATTACACCATCACATGCTATTTTGTCCATATGACAGTGGCTTCATTTCTGGGTGAGGAAACCAACTGGGCCCCTCTACCCCTGACATACGCCCTGTGGCTGGGAGAGCACCCAGGCCTGGGGCACTTGGGCAGCAATTCTTACCAGACCCTTGACTGGGGCCAGCAGCTCCCGGGAGAACTCGGCAAAGGAGAGGAAGGCACCGGCCAGTTGCTCGTCACCATCACTCTGGTAGTTTGCAGAGAATTTTTCCTGGGCTGCAATATGAGCTTCTATGTGGCTAGTGAGATCTAAGCACAGAAACACCAAGCCCCAATCAACATGGATAAGGAGAGCAGAGAAGGAAGCTACCATCGGCTGTCCAGTCATCCACACCTCAACCCCCTCCCCAGACAGCTGTCAGCGTCTAGGCCAGAGTAGGACAGGGCTGGAAGGGGGAGTCAAGTGGGAGAGAGGATCACTGGGTCTGGGGGGGTGGACAGGTGAGTGCAGGCGGAAGGTGGGGATTGGGGGTGAGGGGAGCAGGGGCGGGGCTAGGGGGCTGGGGCAGTGCAGCAATGGGGGGATGGGACAGGTGAGTGGGGCAAACCAGGGGAAGTATTGGGGGATGTGCAGATGAGTGGGACAGAGCAGGGTTGGGGGTGTGGGGAGGGACAAGGCAGGGGTGAAGGGTGGGGCAGGTGAGTGGGGCAGAACAGTGGCAGGGCTGGGGAATGGGCCAAGGCAGGGCTGGGGTGAGTGAGTGGGGCGGTCGGGGAGGGGCAAGGCAGGGATGGGCAGGTGAGTGGGGCAGAACAGGGGTCGGGGAGGGGCAAGGCAGGGGTGGGGGGGGCAGGTGAGTGGGGCAGAGCAGGAGGTGATGGTGTATGTGTGTCTCCTACAGCCCCTCCCCTGTGATGCGGGAGGACCTTGCACCAGGGCAGTTGGAGCCGGTGGGCTCCCGCTCTGGGCACTGGGCACAGAAGGTGCCCTTGAGAAACAGCCTCTGGCAAGGTTCCACCCCCTGCCCCCAGCCCTGGCTGTGCCCCTCGGCAGCGGCAGCAGGAGCAGCGGCGCTACCTCCTCCTGCTCCTGGCACACTGCAGGGTCCCCGGGCTAATGCTCCGGTCAACGCAGGGGTGGCAGGGGAGGAGGATGAAGCTCCAGTGCAGAGCTAGCTCCCATCCAGCCCCATCAGCGGAGTGAGGGAGCCGGGCTGGGACAGGGGAACAGCCATTCCTTTCACCTTGGCACTTGCTCCCTGTCAGCTCCGTGCTCACTGGGCTGGGCAGGGAGTGCCAGGGCCTGTTGGCACTAGTGACCCCAGGCCCGTCTGGGCTGGGAGATGCAGAGGAGCTGAGTGGCGCAAGCAGGGGCGTGTAAGCCGAGCTGGGTGGCACAGTGGGGTTTGATGATGCCATGGCTACTAGTTATGCAATGCCATCCTTATTGCTGGGGGTGGTCTCTGCCCCTCAGCTGCTCGCCAAGCAGAGGGCATTGCTGTGGGGCCGTGGCTGGGGTGCATGCTGCTCACAAGGGCGCTGACTGGCCTGGCCTGCCCCATTTCCCACTCATGCCCAGCACTCATTGCAGGGTTTCTGTGAGGAGGGCAGAAAGGCAGCTGAGACCAGCCCTGATGTCCACTGCAAAGCTGGGAGGAAGGCTCAGGGCTGGATAGCAGATGGCAGTGAGGAGTGTGGAGAGAGCAGCAGGACTGGGGGACTCCCCTGCAACCCCTGCAATGGGAGGGGTTCCAACACACCCAGAAACAGGCACAAACATGGGGGCATGTCTCCAAAACCCCAGCTCCCCCTGCCTACTCTCCAGCCCAACAGACAAGCCTCCCTCCCCCTGGCCCACTCTGGGTCTCCGGCTCTGCTCTCACCTTGTCCAGAAGCATGCTCTGCTTTGGTGGCTTTCCTCATTTTTTGCAATACAGCTCGATCAGAATCCAAGGCCTAGGAACAACAAAAGAGGTTTTGTGGGTTTCTACCTGCCAAATCCTCTAAACATGAGACTAGACCCAGCCACATTGCAGATGGGCTACACAGCCAGGAGGTGGCTTGCTTTATACAGCCTATGGGCACCAACCAGCACACCCCAGGGCCCAAGGAGCACACACTGCCCTGCCCAGCCTCTGCTCATTTGTCCATCCTGCTTGGTTTGAGGGAAGCTGCTAGAAGGAGCTCTAATAACCAACAGACCGGTTGTTGCGCATACCCTGCTCTTTCCTAGGGTAACCATCCGTCCGTATTTCCCCGGACATGTCCGGCTTTTGCATCTTTAAATAGCCGTCCGGGAGGAATTGGTAACAAGGTTAAAAGGTCCAGGATTTTCCCCCCTCCCCTCCATGCAGAGTGTGGCGGCTGATTGGGCAGCTGGGCCTGATTGAGCCGCTCCCATTGGCCTCCAGCAGCCAGAGCCCCTCCCCTGCTCCCCCCTGCTGCCTGCAGGCCGGTGTAAGGACACAAACAGCCCCACCAGCAGCGTGTTTTGCCTACACATGGAGCCAGCATCTGACCGGCATGGGCATGGTAAGGGGAGTCCTGGGGGGCAGTCAGGGAGCAGGGGGAGGGTTGGATGGGTCCCCAGCCTCCACTTGCCACCCCCCCCATGCCTCTCCCATGTCTGCTTGTGCTGCCCACATTCCTCCCGGCAGCAACTGCTGTCTGCTGCCCCAGGGGCCTAATGCCCCCCATCCACTAATGGCAAGGCAGGCTGCCCTTACTCTGACCTTCCACCCTAGCCCTGAGTCTCTCCAACGCCCCAAACCCCTCATCCCCAGCCCTCATCCCCCCTCACCCTAATCCTCTGCCCCAGCCCTGAGCCCCCTCCTGCATCATGAACCCCTCATCCTCAGACCCAACCCTCATCCCCCTGCACCCTAATCCTCTGCTCCATCCCTGAGCCCCCTCCTGCATCATGAACCCCTCATCCTCAGACCCACACCCCTCACCCCTGCACCCCCTCCTATCCCCAAACTCCCTCCCCCTTCCCACACACCTCCTCCTGCCCTCAAACTCCCTCCCAAAGCCTGCACCCCCTCCCTTTGCACCACCTCCCACCCCCAAACTCCATCCCAGAGCCTGCACCCCTCACTCCCTCCTGCACACCCACCCCTTGCCCCAGCCCGGAGCCTGCACTCAGCACCCAAACTCTATCCCTGCACCCCTCCTGCACCCTAATCCCCAGACCAGGATCTGTACCCCAGACCTCCTCCCCCCACCCAACCCCCCTCCCAGGCAGGTGTGGGGGGCGGGTTCTGGGCACCACCAAAATTTCTACAAACCTGCCACCCATGTGAGTGGATAAGGGTCGGGGCAGACAGGGGACAGGTAGGGTCCTAGGGGGGCAGTTAGGGTGGGGGGTTCTCAGGAGGGGGCAGTCAGGGGACAAGAAGCAGGGGGGGTTGGAGGTTCTGAGGGGGGCAGTCAGGGTGTGGGAAGTGGGAGGGAGTGGATGGGGGCGGGGTGGGGCTCCCCCCCCCAGTGTCCTCTTTTTTGATTGTGGAAATATGGTAGCCCTATCTTTCCCCTCTTTACACACAAAATACTGCAGGTGGGGCTTTCAACAGTCATGGCTAGACGCACAAAAGGCCTTATCTGTGGGTATTCTGGGACACACACACCAGCTAGCCCGTCCCCAAAACTCCTGACCTGCTAACCCACAGCTGTCTTTTGCGAGGGTTTAGACATGTTCAGAGCACACCAGCATCAGGACGTGGCAGCTTCCACATGCCCAGCTGCAAAAACTTAGGGGCCTAGGGAATTTAGGTGGCAGCCGAGTGAGGGTTTGGACGATCTCAGCAGTGCCTAAGCATTGGACTTAGGGCCTACGTCCCTTTGTGGATCTAGCCCTCAGTGCCCAAAGCTCACTGCACCCAACTCCTACAGGAACTTTTGCCCATCTCAGCCCATGCTCCAAGTACATTATTAAGGTAGCAACACCCTGCACTCCAATGCCAGGATTACAATTGCCTGGGTAACATATGACAAAACCATGGTTAAGACAGTGTAAATAGCCCTAAACCAAGCATTGCAAACCCAAGCAATTCAGAGTTAAGGTTACACTTGCCAGAAATCCCCATCTGTTAAGGTAAGAAAGGGTAGGGCACCCACAGACCCTAACTCTGCCATGTCACAGCCGGGGCATGGGTGGCCAGACCTAGAAATCAGAGCCAGAGTCCGCTGCAGGAGACAAACTGGAGATTCGAACCATGAGTCGGGCCAGGTTAGGATACCAGAGGGTCAGAGGCAAACTGGACTCAGAAACCACAAGTCAGATGCCAGAAGTCAAGCCAGGTCAGATGCCAGGAATGAAGCTGGGGGAGCAGGGAACACAAGGCACACAGTCCAGAGCAGGGCTGGAGCCCAGTTGCTCAGACAGCTCTCTGTCTCTGCTGATAGCTTCAGCAGGCCAGTGGCTAATCAACCACCATGGAACTCTACCAATGGGACCTCAGGGGTGGAGCCTCACACTGGGGCTGGGCTTCACAGGTCCCAGGTAAGTGCTAGCCAGCAGGCTGCCAAGTGGAGGGTTGGAGGCTCTCCTACAGACCTGGGTTCAAGACATGAGGGTCAGGATACACCATGAGAGGAAAAATGATGGTGTCTTTAAATTAGTGTAATCTAAACAAGGCTCACAATCCCACACTGCCTTAATGATAATTGTATGGCTATTGCAGGGCAGCATTAAGGTGCCTTGTTCCACCCCAGCCTTCCTGCGTGACTTGGACAAGTCACCCATCTCTCTGCTCCCTGATGGTACTATGGGGAGTGGGCACTGCCCTGCCTCACAGGGGTGGGTGAGGACACATTAGATTAATGGATTTTAAGGTTATCGAGTCTGACCTCCTGCATAACACATGGTATCCCTGCATTAGTTACTCCTGTTCTAAATCCTCTGGCTGAGGTTGAACTACAGCAGATTTTAGAGAAAAACATCCAATCACTATTTAAAGATTGCCAGTAATGGAGACTACACCACAACCCTTAGGAAGCTGTTCCACTGGTTAATTACTCTAACAAATTTACATCTTAGTTCCAGCCTGAATGTGTCTAGCTTCAACTTCCAGCCATTGGATTGTGTCAGACCTCTCTCTGCTAGATTGAAGAGCCTATTATCAAATATTTGCTCCCCATGTAGATATTTACAGACTGTATCAAGTCCCCCCCTTAACCTTCTCTTTGTTAAACTAACTAGATTGAGCTCCTTGAGTCAATGACCGTAAGACCTGTTTTCTAATTTCCGAAGGCTCTGAGGTGCTCAGATATTACACCCATGGGGGCCAGAAAAGTACGTAAGAAAGAGATGGCACATTCGAGGCCACCTTACACATCACCAGAGAAGAAGGGAAAAGTTATGATTTGCTGAATATGACTATCTTATTTGTGTGCATGTATCATTTTTGCATCTAAAGTTATGAATATTGACTATGTAGCTGTATTTCAAACGTAGTGACACCTGAGTGACATCATCTGTAGGAAAGATGCTTCCAGCCTAGACAGCTGTTTGGGGAGGGTCTTGTTCAAGGTAATGGGCCTTAGGAGAAGCTTATCCCCCACCTGGAGAGCCTTCCTGAGAACGCTCCAGACAGCCTATGGGTACGGCTGCTCTGACTCAGCAGGGTGTTAGTATATAAGTCTGTTTGTTAGCCTGGGATAGAATTTTGGGTTTGACTTTTTGATACTCTTATATCTTACACTAATATGTGTAAACAAAGCCTGTGTTTATTGCTTCTGCCTAGTCAGATGGGTTTGTTAGTACAATGGGAACAGATAAAAGCGGTTAAAGTGTTACTTGAACGAACACTTGAAGATTGCCTCAACCCTTATCTCAAGGCAAAGTCAAGCAACCAGTCGTGAGGGGCAAAGGGCAATTTGGGGGAAGGTATAAAACACTAAAAGACCAAAGAAATGCCTGTCCCTGACCATACGACAACCTCACTCCTTACCCCTCCCATGGGGTACAAAAGAGTTGAGACGAAGACCCCAGACCCAAAATGGAACATGATGCTAAGTTATAAGGGGTGGGATTGTGGATGTGCATTTCAGGTATAATTATGCCTGCTGAGGAGGGGAAGAGGGAACACTGAGGCATCAGAGTTATGGGACACATGCTTGCTGGAAAGTAATCCCAATAAACATCCCATTGCCTGCACTTCGGACTTCTGGTCTTCTGCTTTCTGTCTGCATGACAAGAACCAGGGGAGAGGGTGAAGGGAAAGCCCTCTAACACACGGTATACAAAGGCATGTGACCAGATGACATGACACTGATCTCCATTTTGGGTACCTGTATTTTTCGACAAACTGGTCTGGAAATCAAGTTTGAAACAAAGGGTTCCCGCCATATGGAAAAGCTATATAAGGCTGGGAGTGACATCATCTCTTGTTCTTCACTCCCCCACAACTCATCACCTGAGAGAAGCTCTGGAAGAAAAGGACTTGGAATGGGGGTGGGGAGCCCAAGCTGCAAAGCAAGTGCAGCTTGTTCCTTGAGAATCTGCAAGCCTGCTTGTATTATCAGCCAGGGTGAGCGATTGCTAATTCATATCTGTTGGAGCTGACCACAAATTACCTTGGGCTGTTGTTACAGAATAGTTTGGGTGGAGCTAGTAGTGGACTGGCTTTGACCAGCTGGGCTGGCTTGCAGCCACTCGACTGGATAAACAAGTAAATTGATAAGGAAGGCCAGAGAGTGTTGAGTGTGGGAATGGAGAGCAGTTGTGTTACCTGCCAGAGCCTGCTTGTGGGTGAATCCGCCCCCCCTTAGAAGGAGATGATGATAAAAGCAGCTCTGAGAATTGCTTTAGATGAACAGTTTCACCTGCGGACCCTGACCTTGCGGGTGCCCAGGAATTCCCCATGCTGGAGCAGCACCTGCTACGAGCCCTCAAGGACAAGACTGGAGGGCCCAGGACTGTCAGTAGCAGAAGGGGGCGTAAGCATTGATTCTTG